GCCCCACGCGGCCTGACAAGGTGTGCAGTTGGGTACAAGGCCAAGCAAGGTTATATCATATATAGGATTCATGTGTGCTGCGGTGGCTGCAGGTGCCCAGTGCCTAAGGTACGACCTACAGCAAGGCCATCCATCATGGTGTTAACCAATTCTAGTTTGCACGAAGCCTTCAGTCTGTTGCCGAGGAATGTGCTGGGCTCTGCAAGTCCTGAATTCTTACTGGGTTGGTGAAGATTCCACATATACATTTTTTGAGGCTATCTTCATTGATCCATTCCATAATGCTATCAGAAGAAACCCTGACACCCCACGGATCACCAAGTCAGTCCACTAGCACAGGGAAATGCGTGGGCCGACATGTGCAGGCTGCAAGAGTTGTGGCCTTGGAAAGGACCATAAGTTCTACACACTATTGGTGGTTCCAGTTGTGCAGCCTGGAGAAGGCGCAAAACCCTCCAGCTACAATGCTACCACTAACACAAGTAATGTTTGTAAACTTCATATCTAATAAAGCATTTAGGACAGTGAAAAAAAAGAAAAAGAAAAGGGAGCTGAATGGGAAGAAGAGCAGATGGGACTTGAGCCAGCATTCATAGGAGATGCCAGCACTGCAGGTGGTGGCTTAACTTGCTATGCCATGGCACCAGCTCCTCTTGTATATTTAAAAAAAAAATTACAAGAAAAGATTTTGAATGTTTTCACCACAAAAAGGACAGATGTTTCTGGAGACAGTCACATTTACCTGCTTTGAACATTACACAGCGTACAGATGCACTGAAATGTCACATGGCAGACCATAAATATGTATACAGTCCTTATGTGTCTGTTAAACAAAAGAATTTTTGTGAATGTGAAAAAAAATAATCTTGATTTCATGTTGGCTCACTTAAAAAAGAAAGAAAGAAAGAAAGAATCTTACAGTAGGAGATCCAAGGGCCCCTCCCAGCTTTGTCCCTGGGGCTGCCAGGAGGCCCCCCGGCTCCTCGCATTTACATGTTAACAATGGGCCTCTCCTAGTCCAAACACTCTCTACACATCTCATGTTCATCTGCCTTATTAATAATTGGCTGCAACCTTTCCAATTTTCCCCTCTAATAGGCTTGAAGCATTTTGTTACTTATCACGTTATGAGCTCATTTCTCCTAGATTTTTACATTAGTCAGCTAACGCCTTCAGGTAAATTGAGGGATCACCTGAGTAACTCGATGCTGATGAGGAAGGCTTTGAAGCAAGTGCCAACCTAGACAGGACCAGAATGTTCTCCAAAAACCCGGACTAATTGTCTCTAGGCTACTTAACACCACCGTAGCTGGGCAGCTTTCTTCCCAGCAGCTAAAAGTGCTCTGTGAACAAGCATCTGCCCCGGGAAGCTGAAGGCCCATTACCCCCACTCATCGTCTTTCATCCATCCATTTATTCTTGAACTTCCTAAGAGGCCTCATTTTCGAAGCTGTGTATCTCTCATAACGGTAAGCCTGAGGTTGCTGTTAGCAGTCCAGACATGCTGCCTGGCTGGAAATACTTATGTCCATTTGAGAAGGTTCTTCCTTGAACATTTATTCTTGGAGGGAAAAAAAAAAAACCAACTCAGGCACCTTGACTGAGAGATGTCTGTTCTTCAGACTATATTCAGAATTGCAGCTTTCTATTTAATAGTTGCAAATCACATTTTTTTTTAAGATTTATTTATTTTTTATTGGAAAGGCGGATATACAGAGAGGAGAGACAGAGAGGAAGATCTTCCATCCGATGATTCACTCCCTAAGTGAGTGCAACGGCCAATGCTATGCCAATCCGAAGTCAGGAGCCTCTTCCGGGTCTCCCACGCGGGTGCAGGGTCCCAAAGCTTTGGGCCGTCCTCGACTGCTTTCCCGGGCCACAGGCAGGGAGCTGGATGGGAAGAGGGGCTACCGGGATTAGAACCGGCGCCCATATGGGATCCCGGGCGTGCAAGGCGAGGACCTTAACCACTTGCGCCACCGCGCTGGGCCCCAAATCACATTTTAAAAAGAATCTGATGTAGTTGTTGGAAGAAAGGAGCGTTCCAACAGGCTTGCCACGTCCCGGGGCCTTGCTTCAGCTGGTTGGTTGGTTGGTTGGTTTCATTGGAGAAGCTGGAGACGTCATTCAAAAGAGCTGCTTGGCCGGTCAGGCTGGTCTCTCGCAAGGGAGTGAGTTCCCAGTCTGGTCCTGGGCTTTTCAGGGCAAGAGATGATTGCTAGAGCCCCTATAGGCATTTGGTTTAGGGCTGCCTCTTGCTTAAGCAAAACCACAAGAAACTGACATGTGAACCACAAGTCCAGTTCATTCACATCAAAAGCGCAACACACCAGGCAAAATGGTCGAACAGGTGTGTTGTGCTCATGTCTGTTGATGTCTGTCAAGTCTCCTGCTTCTCTACCGTAGGCAAGAAGGTCCCAGAACATGGTTCAGACCATTGTGTTCCCCACAGCAGTATCAGGGGACAATGATTTCTGGATCTAATATTGATTTTTCTAAAAATATCCCATATGGGTTCTTGTCCCAGCTGCTTCACTTCCCATGCAGCTCCCTGCTTGTGGCCTTGGAAAGCAGTAGAGGAATGGCGCAAAACCTTGGGACTCTGTACCATTGTGGGAGAACAGGAAAAGGCTTCTTGCTCTTGGCTTTGGATTGGCTTGGCTCCAGCTGTGGCAGCCAATTAGGGAGTGAGCCAACAGATGGGAGATCTTTCTCTCAGTAAATTTGCCTTTCCAATAAAAAAAAAAAGCAAAAACCAAGCCTCTCCCCCTGCCCCACAAAAAGCCCTTTCTGATGAGAAGGTAAGCAATGTCTCCTTGTGCTTTAAGTGATGTGTCGACAAGCAAACCTGTGCCAGCCTGTGTGGGTAAGGCTTGCTTGCTGAAATGCTCACTAGCAGCTGGGATGATTGATAACCAGACCAACTCCAGGCTGCTTCGCTGCTGCCCATCTCCTCTGCCCCTCCCCCTTTCAGTGGTGTGAAGTGGCAAGGAAAACAAGCGACTCTGGTTAGTCAGAACACCCTGCTCGCTGGGAAAACCACCAGTGGAGGGGCCAGGAAATGACACTTTTGAGCCTCCTGTGGTACGTGAGGTCTAAACCGTGTGTGGTGTCATGTGAAACCAGGGAAACCCATACATTTCAGAAAACTCTGCTCCTCCTCTTGGGCTTGTTGATTTTTAATCTAGGTGAATCAAATCATGGGCTTCTCCAGAGCCAGTTCTGGTCCCTGTTGGAAGGCAAAGGATGCCTCTGGATTCTCTGGAGGGAAGCTACCCTTCTGGCAGTACTCAGGCCTCTAGCAAAAACTACCACTCCACAAGGACTCTGGGTTTATGTAAGCTGGGACCACTGGACCGTGGCAAGGGAAAGAGAAAGCCCCGGATGCTTTCTTTGTGACACAAAAACTGTCCCTTGATTATCTGGGGAAACAGCAGAATCCTTGATTAGAAAGGGACTCCAAGCTTGAAAACAGCCATTCCTCTTTTATTTAAATTTCACCTTTGCCTGGAGTTTAAGGGGGGGAGGGGGGAGGCAGCTTATAAATTATTCAAAGATTTAGAAGTAACTAGAAGGTCACTGGATTTGTGGCTGCATTTGGTTCCTACTCCTGTGCAAGAAAACAAAGTTCTGCAAGTTTTCTTAGGTAAGGACAGAAATGGCTGCTCATATTATTGTAAAGAGTACAGTTGAGTGCTTGAATACTTATCAACTGTTTTGTTAAAAAAAAAAAAAAGAAAAAGAAAAGAAAAAAGAAAAAGAAAATCAGGACTAGTAGGAAAATCACACTTGAAGTCCAGAATGTTAACTGATGTGGCTGGAATAAACATGCAAGCCAAGGTACTGACCTGTGGGGGATTTGGACAAATCATCCTTCTTGTACAAGTTTGTATTTTCTATAGAATCCAACTTCTAAACATAAAGCTATTTATTTTAGAGGCAGATGGACACACACACACACCCCATGCTCCCGTCACTGTCCCAAGGCCTCCTGTCGGCACCAAAACCAGGAACCAGGAACTCAATCTTGTACTTCCGTGCTGGTGGTAGGAACCACAGACTTGAGCCACCATGGCTGTTTCTCAGGATCTACCTTAGCAGGAGGCTGGGGTCAGGAGGGGAGCTCCAGCCAGGAATTGAACCCTGGCACTCTAAAGTAAATTGCAGACAGCCCAAGCAGTGTCTTATCCATTAGGCCAAATACCTACCCTGGGATCCAATTCAATTTTCAGTCTCACTGTAATCATGTGAGGTAGTCATTCCACTTTTTCCTTCTTCTTTTTTTTTTTTAAGATTTATTTATTTTTATTGGCAAGGCACATTTACAGAGAAACAAAGATCTTCCTTCTGCTGGCTCATTCCCCAAATGGCCACAATGGCTAGAGCAGAGCCAATAGGAAACCAAGAGCCATTGGTTTCTTCCAGGTCTTCCACATTGCTTTCCCAGGCCACAAGCAGGAAGCTGAATGGGAAGTGGAGCAGCTGGGACACAAACTGGTGTGCATATGGGATGCTGGCATTTGAAGGTGAAGGGTTAGCTAGTTGAGCTTTTGTGCCAGCCCTCTGTTTTTGTTTTCAATCAGAGTAACAGTCTGAGTTAGTCATGAGCCCATTCCAGAGCTGCTTTATAACTCTGGGTTCCTTGTACCTCAGGTTCCTTATTGATCCACTGGGGCTAACAGTAGCCACCTCTGGGGTTGCTCCTCTATTTATTGAACAGATTATTACCGCACGTTCTTGAAGCATCAGGCTTTGTGAGGAAACACTGCTGAACGATGCTGAATGAGTTTCACTGCCTTCCTGGATCTCACAGCTCAGCAAGGGAAGTGAACAAGTACGCAAAGAACAAACAAGTTATTTCCCAAAGTACTGAGTGATAGGAGGAAAAAGACCAGGTTCTACTGTGCTTTGATTGGTTTGAAGAAAAGCCTTCCTGAGGTGAAAAGACATTTAAATGGATGGATTAAAAAAGAAATTAGCCAGGCAACAGCTATGTACTACAGGCAGATGAGGAACATGTGCAAAGGCCCTGGAGTAAGAAAGACCCCGAAGACTGCAGAATCCAAGCAGATGACACTTGCAGAGAAATGCGATGTGGGCTGTGGAGTAAATAGAGGATAGGTTGGTGCTGGTGCTGCTGGCTTGCAGCCCAAAGAAAGCTGTTGGAATCTTCTTCTGTACAGGGTGATGCTGTTAGAGGACATTAACTCCAGGCAAGACTTGAGTAGGGAAGGAGAGGAAGTCAAGGCTTCTGTCATAGGATTAAATGAGATAAGGAATGTTCAGCATCTGGTGCAGTATTTGACATAATCATTGCCCAGTTCACATTAGTAGTTTTTACTGATAATAGCTTCTAATGTTAATAATTCACTGTGGTATCAAATTTAACATATATCCCTGAAATCCTGTGTTCCTCCCTGATTTCAGTCACCGTGACTGTAAATGTCCCACTGGTCTAAGTGGGACTCGAAGCTCATTCTGATCCTATGCATCTAACCTTTCCATTGTCCGCATAATTGCATGTATTAAAGGCAAACGTTTTCTTGAGCTGGTTTGTGAATACTTAAATTAGTATGCCAATCATTAAATTAGTATACCAATCTAGAGAAGAAGATATCTCTTGAAAATAATTTATTAACTGGATATCACAGTATTTTTGTCTATTTTTAAAAATATATTATTATTTCTTTGAATGGCAGAGAGACAGACACAAACTGAGATCTCCCATGCACTGGTTCATTCCCCCACAGCTAGGAGTCAGGAAATCGATCCCCATTTCCCACGTGGATGACAGCGATCCAAGTACTTGAGCCATCCGCTGATCCTTCCCAGGATTTGCCTTAGCAGGAAGCCAGCATTGAGAACAGAGCTGGAACTCAAACCCAGGATGGGGGCATCCCAGGTGGGATGTTGACTGTCAGCCCATACACCTGCCGCAGCAATCCTCACTTCTGTTAGATTCACTTCTGACCCGAGTGAGGATGTGTATAGGGAAAATGTCTTTGGAGAGCTTGCTCTCTAGTTGGTTTGTGACGTCTCCTCAGGCTCCAGGCAGTGGGGCGGCATCCAGTCTTGCCTTACCCTGTTGGGCACCTGAAGTGCAATAGTTTGAGTGTCGTCTGGACCTGAAAAGAAAAGCACGGAGCAGAATACACAGCAGCTGTGCATGCACTTCCAGATGTGGCCAAGCCTTGGCTGCGGGACTAATCGTACCCTCCTTACTACGCCGGCGCAGGAGAGGATCCAGTCAGGTCTGTCCACCATGTATGACACACACACACACACACACACACAAGGGTCCTTCCAAAAGTTCATGGCAAAAAAAGAACCAAAAGTTGAGTCTATTTTGGTGCAGACATTTTGAAATTCATGCAGAACAAGGAATGTTCAAAGAGTTGGTGAAAAAATGTATACCATTGAAGAAAACAAGGTGTGGATTTCAAAACTCTTGTGCACCAAAATAAACTTCTCTGATCCTTCCTTTTCGACATACTCTTTGAAGTAACCTTGTACAAAGAGTTCAACAATTGTTATCTGTGGAACCTATTATTAGAAGACTAAAATACCTGCTCTCCTTTATGTGACCCATTTAATTCCAAATAAAAAGGGTAATTCTGCTGTTTCACGTAGAAGGGAACTGGATATTAGAAAAGGTTTGTCTGGTGACCTCTGACATCTTATCTCTGACCCTCATTTGGCCCCTGAGCCAGGATGAGAGTTGGAAAAGAGACCCCGCGGTCTGGGACCCTGGCTCCAGCTGTCACACCTCCCGAGGGTCCCCTGTAAAGTCACCGACTAACAGCTGTGGGAGACCAGGGCCCTCTAACGCGGCTGCAAATTACACTTGGAAGCTCGGAGTCGGATAAGCCAAGGGTCTGGGGGTTTTGTTCCCTCTGTCCTCTGCTTTTCTAATTATCCCCGTAATGCTCTAATGCTAAATAATGATGCTGCTAATGCTCGCTGCCTTTCCCGCACAGGTGCCAGCTGGTACCTCGCCGGGCAGCTGACCGCGCCGCGCACAACACTTAGTAACTCACAGGGCCCAGCCGCTGCCCACACAAACCAAACAAAGAAAGCCCGGGCTTCCGACCGAGCCACCCCGCCCCTCCCCTCGCTCCCCTCCCTGCCCTCCCGCGCCTCCCCGCCCCTCCCTCGCCCCTTCCCCTAACTGCCCTCCCTCCCACCGGTGGTTTCTTCCTGCAACAGAAATCCAGGAAACCACCCCCCACCACCACCACATTTCCTCTGCCCACAATTTTCTCCAGGGCCTGACTCACACACAAGTCAGCTTGATTTGGAGTTCCCTTTGCTCTACCCCGGGAGAAACCTCAGCTCTCCCATTCATTTCTAGGCTTGCCGGACAAGGTGGCTTGTTTCTGAGTCTGAGAATTGACCTTTCATCAGTACAAAAAAAAAAAAAAAAAGGCATCTTGAAGACAAATTGCCGAAGAACAAATGTGAGGCTGTTGGCTGGGTTGTGCGCGCTCTCTCTTACACACACACACACACACACACACACACACACACACACACACACACACTTTACACAGTCGTCCATGGAACAGGCTTCAGCAGACATCTGCGGGATGAACCACTTTCGGTCTCTACAGCCCGAGTCTCATTGTCTCTGCGGTGCTGGTTGAGGTGGCTGGAAGGACGGAACAGTAAGCCGATCTGGCACACAAACAAATTTGCATGTGGACCGACGGCTCTGCCCACCTTGCGACTAGTGGCTGACTTGTTGCCAGCAAAACCAAACAAAAACAAGTGGGGACGGGGACCGGAGGGTGGGGGTGGGGGGACGAGAATCACTGTTTCCCAACTGGGCGGAGGGGCCTGTAATCCTGACAACAAGAACACTACTGGGGCTGGAGGTTGGGGGGGGTGCCCACAGCCCATCAGCTGGGGGACAAAAGACAAAGAACAAGGTGGGGCCCACGGCCCAGCGCGGGGCACGCCCCGAGGCGCCAAAGACTTGGGGAGTCCGCCCCCTGAGTGCCCCCGCAGAGCCCCGCCTCAGCTTTTAACCTTGACTTCTCCTTGCCTAGCTTCTGGCACCGTAGGAAAGGCGGTCCAGATGGGCATCCTGAGTGTGACGGCGTCCCCACCTGTCCCCGCGCAGATGTCACACTTGGTACCCCACCCCCCGCCCTGGGCCTCGCCACGCCGCCCACGAAGTCCGCGAGCCTTGCGCACACCAGACTTGGGAGGCGCAACACGCACCCTCCCCGCCCTCCCCGGCTCGCCTCGCCTCCTCTGCCTCGGCCTGGCCCGGCTGGGACCGCAGAGCCCTGGCCTGCACAGGGTGTCCCCGCGAGGGTCCCAGGGAACAATGGCGAGCCTGTGCTCCGGCCGGCTTGGGGGACGGCGTCCCCTGCAGCTGGCGCGTCCTTCGGGGCTGCGCGCCGGGCAGCTCCGTGGGGCTGGGCCCCGCGGGCACATCTGAAAGCCCTCCCGACCCCAACACCAGCGCTCCGGGACAACAGTGTCGCCCGTGCAGGGAGAGTACTACGCAGCGACAGACCGGAGACGGCTCGAGGGATGTAATTGATGATGTTGTTCTTACCAGTCCGGTTTGGGATTTCACAAACGCTACCTGTTTCCTTCCCATTTGTTGCTTCTCTCTGTCCTTTCCTCAACAAAGGCAGCCGCGATATTTTGAGCTTAGGTGATAAGACCTGGGGGGTGGGGGGAGGGAAGGATTTTACTGGAGGGAAAGACAGAGAGGGGCCGCGAAACACGGTTAGGAAAAGAGGTGGAAAGAGAGACAGTTTAGTCCTCAGAACACGCAGGGAGAAGTAGTCCTCCAGAGGTACCCTGGGGAAGATTTTCACAGCTTCTACCACCACTTTCTTCCTTTACAAATAAGCCTTCTGCCCTTCAAGGATTTTTTTTTAAGCACTGTAGGCCTGCAAAAATGATGACAGCAGCAGCAGAAAAGGAAGGAAGAAGATGGTCAATTGCTACTTCAGGCAGCTCCTGGCCCTGGAAAGGACCTTCCGGCAGCCAGTCTTAGGTGCTTCTCACTTAGGATAACCTTCTGGAATCCTTGGACCAAGGTTGCACACCGCACACCGCACACCGCACACCCCACCCCATCCCGGCCTGAAACTTCCTTCAATGCCTTCAGCATTGGGGAAGGCTTTGTGTACTTTATCAAGTTTTAGTGCCGTGAGTGAGTGAGGGATGAGCCCCAGAGTGGAATAAGACAACAGTCCCTGAACACAAATCAATTTTAAATCCATTCCTTTTCTGTTTTGGACTTGAAGTGGTCCAGTGGAACTTAGGACAGAGAGCAGGCCTGCAAGCTTTGCTGGGGCTGTCTTCTGCAGTGGCCTGCTCACACTTACAGACAGGGGGATTTGAAGCAATCTGCTACAATCTGATTGCTCCAAAGGATAGAAGGCTCTGACCGCAGGCTGCTCCCACTCCTCCTGCAGGCAAGGACTGGACCGGGCAGAGCAGTGTGCTACCGGAGAGCCAGCAGCCTTGCAGATGGCTGTGTCAGCTTGTGGTTTACAAATAAATGACCAAGTCAGGTTGAAGTCTCAGTCACTGTAGTTACAGACAACTGTGATTAGTCACACGGTTAGTGACCCAGTTATGGCACACCCTCTTTTAAGAGACTACCATTCGAACCCTTGCTAGCTTGGTTTCATAAAACAGTGCAAGGGAGAGGAAAATGCACACACAGGGTCTGGATTCAGGCAGGCTTGGAGTTGGCTTGGCTGCACGGGAAGAAATCTGAGGTCTGACTTTTGTGCACTTTGGCGATTGCCATCCAAGATCGGGGGAACCTTTCTGAGGGGAATCTGTTTTGGGAGCTTTGACTGGACTCTTGTATTTTTTACCCATTTGTAAAATGAAAGTAAGGAGTGAGGAAGGCAGGAAGGGGAAGATAAACCTTAAATACAGAGGCCTCGTGTGGCTTCTTACTTTTTAAAAATAGCACTGCTTCCACCACTGTGGCCCAGGAACTTGTAAACACAAATCTCCAGCAATAGTAAACAAATTAGTCTAAGTTCTTTTATCTGAAGAGTAAGTGGAACAAATTTCATTCTCTTTCTCTCTCTCCCCCTCCCATCCGTGTAACACCCCCCCCCCCAAAGAGAAAAATGCAAAACAAAAATTTCCCCTCTTCTTAAAGGCTTCTTTGCTGGGGAGAGTCTGTTCACGAACAAATACTCTTTTATTCCAATGGTCTCAAAAGTTCATAAGCAAAAAAGTGTCCGACGTCTGGTTACCCACAGTACCGTCTCTGGCTGCATAGTGGCGCTTTTCTGTCCTGAATTTGTGATCTGCTATCAGAGTCCTTTAATTTCTCGGAACAGAAGGCTCTTTGGGAGAAAAGGGATGGGGGTGGGGAGCAGCACTGGAATCAGCCTTTTTGCTGTTTTCTTCCAGTCAGCAAGTCGTGGTGCAGGCCTTCTGATCTTTCTCCAGATCTCACTGAGGCCAGGGCTGTGGAAGGGTTAAAGGGGCCACCGGTGGCTTTCCCTGCGGGGGTGGGGCAGCGGGGCTGGCACCACCTTGGAGCTGTCCATGAAAAGGAGCCTCCCCACTCCTGACACCCTTTATCTCCTTTGGAGATTTTCCCTTTACAGCCTGTTTAATACGATCTTCAGTGATGACCGTCCTTTCAAAGCCTCTGGTTGCCTTGAAGCACCGGGAGTCTCCAGATAATCTCAACATACCAAACATAGACTCTGCTGAGATGAAAGAAGAGGCAACCGATGAGGGGCAAGATGGACTCTCTTTTTGAGAGACAAGCAAAAATAATGATTTATAACTAAATTTTGGTGGCCGGTCAGCAAAACATTTTAAGCCCCCATGCTTGGTGGGTCGAAGCTTCCGTGTCAATGGAGTTTATTTGACTCACTTTGTCCCAGTAAAAGCCAGGTGTTCTCCCAGGTGCACGGGAGATGGGAAGGACTTAGATACACTATGGCCAAGCTCTCTTGAAGCTTATAATCCAGGGGAGAGAAACAGAAGTAGTAAATTAAAAAAAAAAAGGTTTTTATTATTATTATTATTATTATTATTATTATTTGAAAGGCAGAGGTACAGAAAAAGAGAGAAGAAATATTCTTACAGAGAAAGAGAAGAGATATTCTATCACTGGCTCATTCTCAAGTGGCCACAATGGCCATTGTTGGGCCAGGTAGAAGTCAGGAGTCTGGAACTACAGAGGGGTCTCCCGTGTGGGGCAAGGGGGCCATGCACTTGGATTATCCCATGCTGCTTTCCCACGTGCATTAGTAGGAAACTGAATCAGAAATGGAGCATCTGGGACTTAAATTGTTACTCACAGGGGATGTCAGCATTGCAGGCTATAGCTGAGACTTTTGTGTTACAAAGCTGGCTGGCCTCAAGAAGCAATTTTTAAAATAACATTTAGATATGGATAAGTGTTTAGAAGATAAGAAGGTCTGATGGAGAGAAGGTCATTACAAAGGAGCCTGTGCTTTTGCTGGAATCTGAACCCCAAAGGCAGGCAGCTTGGTGCCACTTGAGAGAGAGGGTCCCAGCAGAGCAGCTCAAGAAGGCCTGAGGCTGGCCGGAATGAGCTGCCTGAATCGGGGAGAGAGAGAGAGAGAGAGAGAAGGCCAAGTCACAGTGTCAGGAGCAACAGATTGGAGAGGGTATCCGGGTCCTGCACTTTGTGATTTTTCTGTGCTTGCCAGCGTTGCCAGTTCACACAACTCCAGGGGTGCCCTCACTACAGCAGCCTGCCAACAGGCAGTACAGACCTGCTTCCCTTCCACTTGCAGCCAGTAAAACAACTGAGAAGTCTGGCCCTGGCCTCTTTATCTGCAAATCTCCTTCACATTGACTTTAAACCTGACCCTATTTATAGAAGGCAGGAGAGGCAGCTTTCTCACAGCAGAACAATGGTGTTTGGGGGTGGGGGCAATAGGGATAGGGGCTTGGCAGGCTGGTGGGGACACACTTATGTGACACAGCTGGGAGGTGAGAGAGGAGTCCCCAAGATGGGTGGGTGATCATCAGAAGTTATGCTCTGCAACCTGGATGTACTTTCCTTCTCCTTTTTCTTTCACTCTTTAAGGGCATACTTTATCTATTTGAAAGGCAGAGTTGCAGAGAGACAAGGAGAAATAGAGAGAGGGATCTCCTACCTGCCAGTTTCCTCCCTAAATGATCCCAAAGGCTAGCATTGGTCCAGGCCAAATCCAGGATTTAGAAGTTCCTTCCAGGTCTTCCCTTGCATATTTTGGCATGGAGCTGGCTCGGAGAAAAGGAGCCAGGACCAGACTTGGTGTTCCAATATTAGATGACTGTATCACAAGCAGTGATTTAACTCACAGTGCCACAACACCAGCCCCTCTCTTTATGTAGATATCCAAGAGCTCAAATTGGCTCCAGATTTCTTCAGAGCCTGGTATGCCCCTCCCTC